GTGAGTAGTTGTATTCTCGTCACACCCTGTCTCCCCTTCTGTCTTCGGCAAATTGCCTCTGCTATATTTAAGCAGCGAATGGTATGAATTACACATCTATGTGAAAGCTCCACTTTTTCAACATGTCAAGGAAGTTTGAGATCTTACTTACTTCATTCTGTTCCTGTCTGCAATCCCAGTCTCTCTCTCTCTCTCTCTGTGTGTGTGTGTGTGTGTGTGTGTGTGTGTGTGTGTGTGTCTCATTGTCTTCCTTCCTCTATGAAATGAAAATGAATTTGCAGTGGGCAGCAGCAGAATTTCAGGCTGCACATTGTTCTCCACTCAGTTACCTTCTAATCATGTCTTTTTGTGTTTTTTTTTTTTTCCCCATCCACGTGTTCTCTTGCGCTTCCCTTGTCTTTCTTTCATCGCCTTAGAGTCACTGTGGAATAGCTGTACAGGTGACTGCGACAGGGCCATTATTTTGGAAAGCCACTTAGTGCTTTAAAAAGACATCTCATCCTTGGCCAGACAGCTTACTTGTTCCAATAAAGCCTGATCAATCCAGACGACAGAGTGCCCCTGTCAATGGATAGGCACTGGCTGAGTCATTGCAAACTCAGGGCCAATGTTGTCAGTCTCACTTTGGACTGCTCATCATTAGGAAGTTGTTTTATTTTAGTTGACAAGAAATAGTCAAATATTTCAACATTAGTGGACTAACAAAAATTTGACTAAGTAAATACTTAAGGAAGCTAAATGTTTTAGCAATTTACACAACTTCTGCAGGAATATGTTTAACATCCAACCTGTGTTTATTAACAGCCATTTGTTGGTGTTAAGTTATGGCCCTCAGTTGAGCCCACAAAGAAAACATCTACTTCAAAACCCACTCTGGGAGAGACCTTGCATTTCCGGGCACATTTTGGTTTTGACTTTAGAATTGAAGTATGGTGTAAGAAGAAAGCCACTGTGGGAGCTGGTTTGTCACTGGGGTTATGAATGGGGCTCTTGGTTTCACTAAATTGTTTTTCATAATATGTTTTCATATTCTGTTAGATTCAACAAGGTGTCTTTCCTTGGACAGCTCCCCCATTCTTCCCTGTCTCAAATAATAACACAGCAGCTTGACTGAGCAGATGAAAAAGGACATATCTGGTAAAAGTGTCAACCAGGAGACAATCAGCACTCTCTGCCAGCAGCTTGGCACTAACCAAGCCCCATTTCAAGTTGGCATGGAGTGAGCCCTGAACAAAAACTGTCTCAGACACCTGAGTTCTTAAAATCGGGAAGCTATGAAGGATTAGGCTATAAAAAACACTGTCTGACTGATATTCATTTGTTTGTATCACATTGTCTTGCGCTTTGCAGCCCAGCACTGGTAGTTGGCTACAATTTGTAACTGTTACAGCTCATGAAAAGTGATTGACTTGTTGGGATAAAGGAGACACAACACCTGATGGCTTGTGATGGACTAAGTGAGACTGTTAGCTGTTGGCAACCTAAAAGGACTCTGCAGTCCTCTAGTGAACAGTCAGTGACACTGAAGTCCCATGTTCTAAAAGCAAAAATAAGAAGCCAATTGAGACAAATTTGATAGGACAAATTTGAAATTATATCTGATTAATTATCAGTGTAAAAAGCCTCACTTCAAACTGAAACAATATGATTACATTTGAAATAATTTGTTATGAAGAAGTAGGGGCACTTTTGGACAAACATCCATTTTTTTCTGATTCAGCAGTTCAATTGAAGTAGATATATATATATATTACACACTTTAATATAGTCTTTACTAGCACACATTTCTTTCAGCAGTTCACTTCCCCAATCCAAAAAAAAAGCCCAAAATATATTTATTGCTGTGAGGTATTATGAACAGGAAAACGCATCAACCATTTTTTTTCGACAGAAACAAAAGTTAGTGTTTTGGGGTTTTTTTGGGGGTGTGACTTTAATGTTTGCCTTTTTTTACTTGGGAACAAAAAAGAAATATGCATAAATGTAGACACTGACAACACATTTACCACTTGTCAAAATCACCAAAATTACCATATGGGGACAGAGGCATAATGCAAATTCCAGCAAAAAGATATGTGATCTAGCATGCTACAAAGCCTTAAGCAAACTATATTCACTATTTATCATTTACATTGAAGAGGAAGGGTATTTTTCAACCCTGTTAAACACTAAGTTATGGGACCATAATGGAAATATATGCATGGATTATTCAGTGTAGTGTATGAGACACAACATCTGTCTCTTAAGAGCTTTTGGTAAATGATTCTTTTTGATTTTCATTAATTTTATTTTTGAACACCATTAATTCATGAATTCACACCAGAATATTGTATATAAGAGGTTAAAAAAGTACACAAAAAATCTGTTTTCAATGCCAGACACTACCCCAATGCAAGCTTAAAAGGTGCTTCTGAAAGGCTTGTAACTTTGCAGAGGATTGCAAGTCTAGTCAGTTTGAATTCATGGCTTTTACAGTCGATTCCAACAACAGCCCAGTTTCTAGTAGAAAAAGGTTCATAGAAACTTTTCATACCACTCCTGCTTTATATTGCACCTATCCTCTATCCATTTGTATGTTTGATATTTGTGCCATTTTCTCCTTTAGTTTATCAGGTAAAAGGCTAACTGAGATTTAAATCTCCTTGCCAAGAAGGCCAAGACTGTTATACACTACACAAAAAAGCATGAAGAACGTCCACTTAAGATAGACATGAGCTTATGAATTTATGCTTTAATTCACGTTTTTGTTTCAAGAGCTTATATTTTTGCCAAAAATATGCAACAGTGATACACAGCCTTAAATTGTTATTAGCACAGCTAGCTTTTCACAGAATCAAGCATCATTGCAAGCAACAGATCTATAACAGTGTTTTGCTCTGTGCACCCCGAATGACAGGCACACAGAGAGGGCTGGTAAAGAGACAGTCAGCTATGGCAATAACTTTATGGATGTTTGGGCGGTCCATCGGTGTTGTGCCGTAATAAGCACCTGCTCAGATAAGCACGGCAGGCGCTTATCCGACTATGATAGACAGGTCTGTTGGCAATGTTTTTGTGTGTGTGTGAGAGAGAGAGTGTGTGTGTGGGGGGGGGGGGGGCAAGGAGCAGCTATGCGAATCAATGAGCTGCACATGGCTTTACAATGAAATAAGATTTTAACCATCTGATATAGTCAAAAAAATAGAAAATCAATATGCAGTGGTCAGTGTTGTTATTGTGGCAGGCCGCAACAAATAAATCAATGTATGGGAAACACTGATAAGCAAAAATGATAAATATGAAAAATATTCTGAAACATGAGAGGCCTGGGAAAAAGGGCTTTAAAAATACCAGTGAGCAGATGAGGGGAAATGAGGAACAGGTGTGAAGGTAGGTAAGGAAGATCCGGTGATCTGAAATAGAAAACAGGTGAGCAGGTGGATCTGAAAAAAGGAAGAAAGTCCGGAGACATCTGGTGGGCGGGTGGAGTATGACAGGAGGCCAATAAACAGGTCTGAGACAGAAATCATGAAACATAAGTGGCGTTTTGAGCATTGGAGCCCATCCAGAAGCGATTTCCTGTGACCAGGCTGTCACAATCACAATCTGCCCTGAATGTTGACGTGTAGACTGAAATCATAAAGCCTCAGCTTACTGGGCTGAACCTCTGTAAAACTACAACCAAGAAAAGCAGGTGTTCTCACACAAAAAATCTTGCTGTATTAAACTTGAGTCCCATGAAATGAAGAATTTCTTTCCCTTGTTGCTGCCTTGTTTCTCTGACTGTTCTACTTTTTGTTTTTATATAGCACATCTAGAGTATATGTCAGAAATGAACATTTGCCATTTAAAAAAAAAAAAAAAAAAAAAAAAAAAAAAAAAAAAATCCTACAGTTTTCCACTGTGATGTCAACCCACTGAGTAAATTCAACCTGATGTTTAGGAGAAAGTAAGAGGTTATGGAAAAATCTTGTGAACCATGGCTACTGTCAGTGTCCATTTGCCATTTTTCTCACACCAACATTTGGAACCAGATCAAACCAGAGAAAGAAATAATGATCTCAAATGCTGTATGAGTCAAACAGCTGTAGGGTTAAATTTTGTGTTAAACTGATTACTAATGTGTCACTATGTCTGGGAAACTGGAAATTTGAGGGTGCAGAATTAGAAATATGTATTATATGTAATATATATTTTTTAAAAACAAACAGTTTAATGTTTTCTTTTCTGGCATATTCTTACACTAGTTATCAGTTGTATGGGAATACATGGCCATTGGGTTTTAGTGTTCATCCTAAATCGGGACTTTTTATGGTGATATGGGGAGAAGAGAAAATTAAATGGAGCACATAGGTTAGGGCTGTCTTCTTTGTTTTGAGTTTGCACTATACATAGTGCACTTATGATGGACAGTTATAAATAAAAGATCAAAATCGATACAACAGAACCCAAGATATGTTTTTTTATTTCAAACATTCTTCTTCCTTGTCAAAACTTGGTTCCTTCATAACCCACAAAGCAACTGGACCGCTGCCAATTTGGTCAGAGATTAGGATGTATTATGCTAGTAGCAGCTGATGTAACCTTGAACTAGGTCTGGTAATCTAACTTCTCTGTAACTCCATATCCCCAGATTTTTTTCATCTTCAAAATTGTAGTCTTCAGCCTCAACTGATGCTGAGTCAAGTGACATCACTGGAGGACATTTATCCGACTTTGAGCTGCTCCTTCTGGAGCTACAAAAGAATCAGCTTTTCTGTCATCACACAATACAGTATTCACAATGATATGTAGTTGTTGCCCCTGTTTTGTTGTCTAACAAATACCGGGATCTCAGTTCTTGAGCAAGTGATCAGTTAATGAAATGAAAAAAACTGACTAAATCAGCAATTATTTTTTTACCCTGTTCTGTTCAAAGAAGACTTTGTGACAAACATGTTAAAAATTCAATACGACTACATCTGCTGTCTGCATGCATCTGAGCCTGAGCCTGTATATCTGTGTTTTTGTGTTTCCTCCAGGTCTGGGCGTCCTGTCAGTTTCATGGTGGTCTTCAACACTCCCAACCCCCTTAGTAAGATCTCCTGGGTCAACCGTCTGCACTTGGCCAAGATCGCACTACGTAAGCACGCCGACACACACACACAAACACACAGACACTGGTATACACACACAGAAAGGATTACTTATGTCTTCTCTATTTAAACAGGATGATGTAATGCAATGAAATGCAATAACAATGTTTTAAGTCAGAGGCTCAGACACATCATCAGTGTTTGCTTCACTCTGTATTGGCTAAGTGCACAACTGGTGTTACAACTTATATAATCAGACAAAAACTGAGACTCTCAACTGGGTCATCTGAAGTTTATGTGCAGAGGAAAGGGGCTGTTTAAACAATATTAAATTAATAACCTCTGTTTTATAATGCCATTTATCTATTGCGAAAACAAACATTACTAATCATTCAGGAAAGATTGTGTTGCCGGGATTTAAGTTACATACTAGCTATTGAAAAAGCATTTATTCCTTTCAATTATATACTACCAGTCATTTGTAAGTCTACATGTCCCTTTTTTCTCTTATTCTAGAAAGCTCTTTCATATTGGAGACTCAGCAGTGGTCAGCGTTCATAGACAAAGAAATTGGCCAAACCCTGCCCAGCAGGGAGCAGCACAGTTCTATTTTTTTAATCTTCCTAACCTCTTTCCTCCAACCCTTGCTTGCTCTCCCAGGCCTAAGCCTACTATGCAGTCTGACCATGCCGTAGTACAGGAGGTCTTCCTCTCTAGGGTTCATCAATGCGTGCAGTCATCAAGTGGTAAAAACAGAGACGGGACTACTGAGGGCATTAATCTGCTTATTTGGCCATGATAGCACGCATATTCAACCCACTCACCGCCCCGGTCCCCTTTCCCCATCCTTTCCTACTCCCTTTGTTGCCTTGAGCACTCTTCCTTGTCACACACACTTTATTCTGGGTTTGTTGTGCATGCAGTATGTCTCTCAGCACAGCGCTTGTGTGTAGCTCCAGTTGTATTGTTGTGGCTTTTTATATCCCTGAGGCCATTGCTGAGGGCATCAGCAAAGAAACATTCAAGGTTTTGGAGTAAGTTATTGGAGGTAGATTAAAGAACACCCAATTTAATGTTTCACTTAGATGAGTGGTCAGAGATATATAGTGGGTTCCAAAAATGTGAGACCACTTGGGGAAGAGAGGTCTGAGATTTTGGACCCCACTGTCCAAGTTTTTAATACCCAAACAGACCCCTGAGAGCTTCAAGGAAGCTTTTTGTTCTTTAGAGAAGTTTTCCTGAGACTTTGCTTCTCTGTATCTTGACATACTCCATCCTTGCACATTACAATAAAAAAAAAAAAAAAAAAAAAGATTCTTCCCCCGCACTACTGGCCTACCTTCAGAGTATGGGAACAGAGGTGCATGAAGCATACAATGCATCTGTAGACTCTCCAGTAGAGCTTACTGTATATGGTTTGTGTCAGAGTGGCATCAAAAACATCAGGCTGAGAGCAGAGGATGCTGTGGCTGCAGTGAAGCGCAGCATCCCCTGCCTTTCCTTGTTGCTCACACCTTTATCAGCAACACAGCAGGCGTACTGATGGGGACAGTGGCATAGTTATAGCATGCTTCTCTCCTCCCCTGTGGCTGGTTTGTGGACATGGGTGATATTCAAAGCCAAATCATGCAAGTTATCCATGGCTGCATGCTAGGAGGAGCCTCATGCTGCAACTATGTTTACAGACACCATCAATATCTTGTACATCTAGCATAACTTGAGGAGGCTAAAAAAAGAATAGCGGAGGACAGAAAGTGTGACTCTCTTTTTTTCTTAAATTAATTAAAGAAACAGAGTTTATTTTACAGTCACAAATGAAATACCAAATAAATGTTTATTGGATTTTCTCACTTTTCTTAGCACATTACACCTGGAGAAAACACTCAACACCCTGATGACAAGGGATAAAATGTTGTCAACATGTAAATATTGCACATTATTTTCACTCTCATATTGAGTGACTATATAATGGTACAACTGTCAGCGCCAATCTGTCTTTGTCAGGCTATCCTACTATCTCGTAGCCTCAAGCGCTTGTCAGAGACATTATCCTCCTGTGGTTTGAGATAAACCTAAAATCTTTGCCTTTCTTTGATTTAGAAAAGTTTCAGATCAATTGACTGATGAGAGGAAATTGACAGATCTAAGGTTGTAAAGGTTGTAGGCCTTTAGCTAACACTGCTACATAGGGCAAGTTACCATGAGAACAACAGTAAAATAAGCTGCATTTCCTCCATCACCAACATGATGGGCAGCCAAGTGTAAGGAGAACAAACTTTGAGGCTCAAAGAAAAGCAATAAAATAACAAGAGAACAAAAATAGGAACTAGATAGAAAAACAGAAGAGGAGTTTTAGGACAAGTGGAGCAAAAAGAAGGGAGGGGACACATTACACAGAAACCCCCACTGCTGTCAAGACATCAAGCAGCTGGATAATTTCAATATATCAAGCTCAAGACACAGATTATGGCAGTGGGGCTGCAGACATAATAAAGACCATCTCCATCTTTCAACCAGAGAACATGTTTAACTCAACTTAAAGATATTGATTTCACTCTTGTCTTGTTAAAATGATTGACAGCATGCATTTAAACATGTTGAATTTGAAGATGTTTCCTTTACGTCTGAATTATATGGAAACATCCGCAAATTCCAAATGTTGCCTTAGAGTAAGCTCATGTATATACAAAGAACAGCAAATAATATGATTTTCACTTTGATACAAACATGACTTTAAACTCCTTGACAGTTAGACAGATGCTGTTTTTTTTGTTTCACACTCACATCTTTCCTCTTTTTCCAAGAAGCAATAGACATAACTCCATGTAACATATATCACTGCAGTTTTCAAATTTCAGCATGTGTAACTAACCACACACCATACATGGGGGGGGGTGGGGGTGGGGGGGTAGTACCATCAGGGTTGCAAGCAAATGGAACAACTTCAAGAAAAGATTTATTGAAGATTAAAGGGAAAAAAGTAATGTTCATGTTTTTTTTCCCCAAGGTAGTCATTAAAGGCCTTTTCACATTTACTTTCTCCTCAAATGGCTTATATGAGTTTAAATATGTGTTCTGTTCATAGTTGACAGCCCACACAGTGTCAATCCTTTCCATCACCTACAGCCTCACAAACAGAGGTTAATGGAAATGTTTATCATGATTAGCTATTAAGGGTAAAAATAGCAGCTTGTTACTTGCACCGAGTTTTCATTTTCCAAATGTACAAAGTTTATCTACCTGTTCTCTATAGGGTATATAACACACATATATATATATATATATATATATATATATAAATTTGAATTCATAGTCTATCTTTTTATACACATGTGTTGTGTCATACAAGTCACACAGTATAATTTATGTTGTAAAAGATCTTTAATTAAGGTCAGAGTCAGTTTCCTACAAATTCTAAATGACAGATTTTATATGAATTTTAAATTGATTGCAAGATTGAATTTAGAGTAAATATAATGAGCTTTGCTCTGTTCTACAATCTTTAATTAGTCATATTATGTAAATTAATGTATACTTAAAATGTTTTACCCCAAAATAAAAAAAGAAAAGCAGACAATAACATATCAGAATATCGAATAACTCAGTTCTGATTTTAAAAAGTCAAAGTCAATCCTAGTTGATTGCTGCAACATCTAGATCACATGTAATTCTTTGCACAACAGCGCTAGAACTATGACACACCAGTACTCATCTAATCATTCATTTAAAAACAAATAGTAGAGATGAGGGTGGGGTGATGGATTTCATTGAATCCCTTGGGGAAATAGATCAGCACCAACCTGGTCAGGATGACAATTACATGTTAATTGTTTTACACCCACACTTTGCCTTCCTATTTAACCAAATGTAATTACAATAAGGGAGTTGTTGATTTAATTTCACGGATGGTGTACTGTCACTGAGGCTTCCTCGTCATTGCAGGCGGAGGCAGGCCTGCCCTGTGCTCAGGGGAGACCTACAGTTGAGTCAGCGTTTCAAACGCACTGAACCATGGTCTTGTTTAGTTTCAAATGGGTTCCGTGCTCTGAAATGTCCCTGAATGGTGGACAACACAAATAGCTAATGTTCTCATGCATGATTAAGTGAGTGATTAGACATCACAAAACTCATTTACCCAGACTCATCTTCATACGAGTGTTTATCCTGTTACCTCACTTTAGAAGAAGCACAGCCACATCCCTCTGCTGTATTTTGTATCCTTCTCTGTGCCATGTGTGTGAGTATCAGTGGGGGTCCTGCGTGTTGTAGGCTATTTAAGTTGTATCAGTATGTCCATTAACAATGCCTTGTTAACTTCTGTCAAATTTTTCAGCCTGTGATCGGCAGTGGTTTATAAAAATGTTTAACTGGAGATTGTTATACTTTTGCAGGATGTTAAAGCTGCACTGGTAGTCAAGCTTTACATGATATAATATATAAGACGTCTTTCCAGTAAATAGCATTTGTCACTTTGTGAGTGCATGTGGTAGTTATGAGGCCTTGAAAGAGAGAGTGAGAATTACCCCACCGTGGTGCTTCACCAGGAGCCCCGGGGTCCATTAATAACCTGGTGTGCTAGTGCATCTTTTATGTCTCTCTGAGTGGCCCTACCGTTTCTGAAGGGTCTTCGTGAAATAGCCAGAAGCATTGCCTAATTAATGGGCTTTCTCACTGCAGAATTAATTGCTTCCTACCATGCAGTCCCAGCCCTTTCAGACAGGGTTAAGGCTGCAGACTTTGATGGCCCTCACAAGAAGAACAAGAGGCCGTCAAATCATGAGAGATTGCTGCCGAGACGTTGGAGACAGGAGCAGAGGAATGAATGAGCGCAAAGAGGAGGAGAGGTTGAGGGTGTGTGGGAGTATGTGTTTATGTGTGTGTATGTGTGGAGAGGAAGAAGGGATGGTTAGGGGGGTGAAAGGATGATTGAGACAAGCAATCAGTCCCACTGCAGGGAACAGAGGGCAGGCAGGGGGCTGTTGCCTGCAGTTACACTGCTAAGTGTGCCGGTCTCTCGCTTTTTCCTTCGCATGTGGATCAATAGATG